TTTTTCTGCTCCAAAATATAAAATCAGGTTAGAACATAAAATCTTTTTTTAATTAATTCTTTTTGTAAACATTTATTGCACCTACCATGTGTCAAGGCACTATGCTGAGATTAAAGATACAGAAATTAAATACCTGGTTCCAGACAGATAAAATAATACATTTTAGAGCTATTCTGGGAACAGTTAGAAGGGCACTTAACCTAGATAAGGATGGTCAGGCAGGACTTCCTTTTACCGTCAGTATAATTAGAAGGTTGATCTTCTTTGAAAACAAGTCATAGCAATTCTGCATTTTTAAAGAAATTTTGAAAGTGTAGCTCATGCTGGGCCCTTAGCACATCCCATAATTATATAAGCACAGGAAAAAAAAATCTTGAGAAAAGCAATAGGGATCAATTCCCGAGACATGTGTATAAGCCAAAAATCATTTTTTTAATTGGCATGAATACAAGCAGTACAGGTACAAAGACGTTGAATGAAAGCTTGATTTCTGCTTCCTTGACTGCTTAACATATTTAAAATCAAACCATCAGAGCTTTTAGGGACATTGCTTCCCCTAATAATATACCTGCTAGATTTTTTAAAATACTGTTATGAATGTAAAGGAATCCTATACCCACTGGTATTTTTAAAAAAACAAGCCTCCTTACTTTGTGTTGCTTTCTTCAGGACTGTACTGGTATAGCTGTATCGATTATTAAGTATTGAAATACATCCTTACTGCTTTGTAAAGAGCCGCTGTTGAAAGCCATACCCCTCCACAGTCTGGCCTCTCGCCCAGGAACTGCACCCCTGCAGCTGCCCACAGCCCAACCATTAAAAGCTTATCCCCAGGCATAGCAGGAGGCCTTTAGGACCCCTGTTGTTCACTACTCTTGCATCCATACTGATGGCTGGTCCTTGGGCTATCATTATTGTTAAATAAGTTTGAATATTACCCAGACTTTCTGACTGTTAGTGTAAATAAATCATTACCATTTATCAGTGTTTATGTTCTGCCATCTAGAGTGTTAGATAGCTCTAGCTCACCTGTGTTGCTTATCTGTATAAAATCAACATTCGGAATTTTATCATTTTCTGAATAAGCCCAGAATACCATCTCCTAAGCCACACTGCATTTTTTCTCTACTTCTTTCAATGTTTGACAGTTTGACCTGAGTTTTATGTTCTCTTATTGTTCTTTTCAGTTCGCTTTGCACCTTATAGGCCTCCAGATATCTCCCTGAAGCCTCTGCTCTTTGAAGTGCCCAGCATCACAACAGAGTCGGTATTTGTTGGCCGCGATTGGGTTTTCCATGAAATAGATGCTCAACTTCAAAGTTCTAATGCCAGCGTGAACCAAGGAGTAGTGATCGTGGGAAACATTGGGTTCGGCAAAACTGCCATCGTCTCCAGACTGGTGGCCCTCAGCTGTCATGGTACAAGGATGAGACAGATCGCCTCAGACAGCCCACATGCCTCCCCCAAACGTATGTATGCCCTTTTAAAGAACTCTCTGCTTTGTTGGCTCTGAATTTTTTCTGACATATTCATATTAGGTCACATGTCCCTTTATTTTCTCATCTGCAAAACCTGACCTGCATGTGAGGACTGTTAATTCAGAGTTGAGAAAAAGAATGTATACTCTGTTTACATCTAACCCACATATCCAACAGGCACCTAAGCATGACTGAAAAAACCTTTCTTGTTGAATAAAGTCAAATCAATTTTGGACTCTTCCCTGTTGCTGTGTGGCTGCTGGTCTGTCCTTTGGATAATGACTACAGCAATTGCCCACAGAGCCATTTGCATCCATCACTGTTGAATTTTGCTCAGCCGGTGCCCAGTTCTTCTTGTTACTTGCCAACACAGTCTGTTTGTGGCCTTCATTTCTTTGTTGTTGACGTCAGTGTTACACTGCTTGGACTTGAACTTCATTGTGTCCTTGAAAGATTTCTCTTGATTCTTTATGAAAAGATGCTGAGCTCTCATATGTATTCAGGCTTCTTTCATCACAAGCAGGGTGCAGCTTAATGATCACCACCAGGATCTTATTATTTTTAAAATTCATATGGTACTTACTGTATGCCAGATGCTCTCTACATGCTTTACAAACATTAATCATCCAGTCCTCTTATCAACTCAGTGAGATTATCTTCATTTCACAGGTAAATAATCTGAGGTTCAGAGAGGTTAAGTAGGGTCTCCCAGGTTTGACCACCAGTAAATGTTAAAACTAAGCAGTCTGGCTTCAGAGGCCATTCTCATATCAGTTCTGCTATGCTGCCTCTCCTTATTGGTGAAACTCAGTCAAGTAAAGAAAATAAATGGAAATGGATACATGTTCTTCCTCTGCACATTATATGTATAGAACCAGTCTAGCTGGTTTCTGTTAGTTATAAGAGAACAAGAAAGAGAAACTATTGCTCTGCTAGTCCAAATCAACTATCCCACCACAAACTTTCAAACAGTAACCACCAGAAATGGTTTACTTGAGATCAAGGTCTAGCACAGTGCTATAAACTTAACAGGAACTCACCGAATACCCTCCAAACATCTTGGCTTCTTATTGAAACTAGTTAGCAGCCTTATATCATTAAGGTGGCAGATTGCCTCTGGTAAACTTATGGATGTTTAACATGTGGAAGAAGAACTAGTGTCTAGGAAGAAAATTGGTTGAATCAAAATACTCTCTTTACCAGGGTATGGTAAGAATTGGTATAGGTATAGGAGAATTACTTACTTACGAGAAATATCATGCTTAGTTCTTAAACGAAGCTCTTAGGAGGTAGATTGGCATAGTATTGTGGAAGTCAAAAGCCCAGGGATTGTGCCGCAACACTCAAATTGACTATACTTTGTGAACTTGAGAATTCTATTTAATTCTTTACACCTCACTTTTCTATCTGTAAAATGAAATAATATGATATTTAACTAGTTGATCTTTAAGAATTGTGTACTAACATTTTGATTCTAAGAACACATCTTCATGGTTGAAAGTAACATTCTACTCCTATTCCAGTATTTTGCTTTGAGCACGTATCACACCAAACTACTTCTTATCTGAGTAGTCCAAAAGGCTAGCTATTTGAGTGTGTCAGAAAGAAAACCAGATAACTAATAGTCCCTTCTGACTCCTCTGTATATCACTGTTGCAGATAACAGAGTGGTAGAATCATGCATGACAGAAGATAAATCCCAAGGGCAAGAAGAGCTGCTTTCTCAGAAAGCAAAGGTACCTGGGCATGCCCCCATAAGCCTGGGAGAGCAAGAATTAATAGAAAACATCCCATGTGCTCCCCAAAGCAGAGATTCTTTAAAGGTAGTTCATTAAGTTATTCTTAAACATCCATTGCCTTCTATCTCCCTCGAGTCTCTAAAAACACTGGAACACTTCCCATTCATGAGATAAATGTCCATTGTTAAGACTGTAGATTTGGCCTGATAGTTAATTTTCAAAACTGGAAAAGGAGCTGGGGGTTGAGAGCTAGAGTATATGCTTATGTATCTATCAGAATTACTTAGAATCAATGTTGCCTTCTACAAAATAATTTTCATTGTAATCTGTTGATGTCCAAAGTACATTCTACTTCTACCATCTTAACAGAACCAATAGTCCTTAAAAAGGGTCAAGAATAAGTGACTGATATAATGCAAGCTATTTTTTGGCATAAATCTGTTACTATATGAGCTGGCACTGAATATGTTACTGGCAGCAACGGTATTTTTTTTCATTAATAAATGAGAATGATATCTGTATATAAAGGATTGGCTTAATTTTTTTTTTACGGAGTTTAACTTATATTAAGCTTGGATAAGTTTATTTGGAATCTCACTGGTGTTCTTAATCCTTATTCAGTGATACCAATAACATAGTTGTAGTAAAAATGAAAATAAATGGAAAATTATTAGAGTTCCCAACTTCTGTCTCTACATCATCTGCTATTCTTTCTTCTACCCCTGCCTCCTCCACACTGAGCAGTACTGCTGTGGAAGATGTGAACAGTTTAGCCTCAGTATTGCATTGCTTGGCTCTCCTTCTCCCACAGACACTTAGCACCCCCCCTCAGCCCGCCCCCTCCTTGTCATTTCCCTGGGAAGGTACAGAAAAGCTGTCAAGGCAGGCACTCGCCTGTCATCCTGCTTTCCGCCTACTTTCCCAAACCTGACTCCCCCATCAGTCTCCACCATCACCCACCCCCCACAACACACACATCCTAAGAACAAAAATATTTTGTGAAAATAGACCTGTTGTGTAATCCACACATTATTACATCAACTACAGGTATACTCAGTACAATAGTTAGGAAAGCTCTGTCTAATACAAGACTTTATATTCCTATCACTAAAAGTCTCAATGTAGTTATTATTTGGATTTAACATCTGCCAATAACTGCCAAGCCCCCAAACAGCTGTTAAGTAACCCCTACCCTCCCTACTCTTCTCATTTCAGAAGTCTGTTTTGCCAGTTTGCTGTGCACATTGATTACTGCCTACCTATCAACTTATTTCTACTATTCTCTTTTCAAACAGAAAGGAAGACATTTGGACAAAAAGGAGGGCATCTCCAAAAGGGAGAAGCTTATTTGAACAGTAATTTCCCACAAAATCAGATACCATATAAAGGGAAATGGAGTGGGGAGAGGCAGTGAACAGCAGAAATAATACAGTGACAATCACTGAACTTTACCTCAACTCAAAATGTCATACATTTCTGTAGGCTTTTTTGACTGCCATCTCCCATGCTCACCCCCATGCAATTATTCAGAACTCAAGGAATTTATCCACAAGTCGGATGGAAGAAGTCTAAATTCAGTCCTTCTGGTAGAGAGTTAAATGAGGTCTGTCGTCCCCTATTCTGCTTTCTTTTCAATAGCTATTGGCCATCAGACAACTTCAGATATGTATTTTGATACCCATTTTTAACGTATGATCTTATTCATAAATGTAGTCTATAATTTCTAGTCATAGGTAAGAAATAGAATGTTATTTATTCTAAATAACAGGAACAAATGGATTTTTAAACAAATTTCAAATAGCTTTATTGAGCTATAATTCACATACCATACAATTCACCCATTTAAAGTGTTCAGTATCTTTAGTATAATGCACAGGATTGTACAGCAATCACTATAATCTAATTTTAGATCCTTTTTGTCCCCCTAAAAGAAACCCATGCCTATTAGCAGTTAATCCTCATTCTCTCCCTTACTGCCCTCTTCAGCCCTAGGTAACCATTAATTTCCATTTCTATGGATTTCCCTATTCTGGGAATTTCGTATAAATAGAATCATACACTATGTGGTCTTTTTTTGACTGACTTCTTTTACTTAGTGTCAACGGAAAAAAAGACCAAACTCTGTAAAGTAATTTTAAAGAGATTTACTCTGAGCCAAATTTGAGGACTATGACCCGGAGCCACGCCCAAGAGGCCTTGAGCAGTGGACTCGCAGAGGTTGGGTTACAGCTTGGTTTTATACATTTTAGGGAGACAGGGGTTACAGGTGAAGTCATAAATCAATACGTGGGAGGCATACATTGGTTTGGGAGGCATACATTGGTTTGGCCCGAAAAGGTGGGCCATCTTGAAGCGGGGGCTTACAGGTTATAGGTGGGTTAAAAGATTCTTTGGCCTGTAATTGGTTAAGACATGAAGCTTTGTGTAAAGGCTTGGAATGTTTCAACATAAGGAGTTCTTTATCAGAGATAAGCCACTGGACATAGATTTGTTGTGTAAATTGAGGACCTGCAGGTTTGTCTTGCATAGCCTTAGGCCTGTTAGTGGGTTATAAAGGATATCACCAAGAAGGGAGGGGGGGATGATAAGGCATGTCTGACCTCCTTCCTCTTGGCAGACAATTTAGTTTTAGGGTATTCCTTTGGCCACGAGGGGGTCCATTTAGTCAGCCGGTGGGGGGGGGTGAGCCTTAAAATTTCATCTCAGTTCACATTAGCTACAACAATTACATGTTGTAGCATGTATCAGTATCTCATTTCTTTTTATTGTTGAGTATAAACAATGGATCCTTTATATGGATCCATACCACATTTATCCATTCATCAGCTGATGGATTTTGGGTTGTTTCCACCTTTTGGCTGTGATGAATCATGCTTCTATGAACATTTATGTACAAGTTTTTGTGTGGACATGTGTTCTTATTTCTTTTGGATATATATCTAAGAGTGGAATTGCTGGATATAAAACAAATGGAATTTAATCTTCCTTTAATTCAGAATTTTATGATTATCTGATACAAACATCTCATCTTTTTAATCCAGATGTGGATGCCAACAGAGAGCTGCCACTCACACAGCCACCTTCAGCCCACTCATCTATCACCAGTGGAAGCTGCCCAGGAACACCAGAAATGCGCAGGCGGCAGGAGGAGGCTATGCGAAGACTAGCTTCACAGGTACAGTAGGATTCCCAAGTTGTGGACATGCTAGTTCCATTTTAATGTTAAGGAGGCAAAGGTGGGGAGATCCTTGGCTAAGCGAACAGAAATATGTAAAGGTATACCATGAGCACACAGAGAAAAGTTTCTCTTTCTTTGCTTTTCCTAGAAAAATGTTATGATTGGATCAGAGCCTTAGAGCTAGAGAGACCCTTAGAAATAAAGTCCTGTAGTGAATAGACAAGGAAGTTGAAACTGAAAGAAGTGATATGGTTGACCCAATGTCACAGTATAAGTAATCAATAGTTTTAAATTTTCATTCCTAAATCAAAACTCTTCCTGCTATACTATACTGTCCATAATATTCTTTATACGTTTGGGTTTGAAATTTCTATTTTTCTCAAAGTAATGTATGCACATAGAAAAATCAAATAATGCTTAAATCCAGCAATTTGGGACTTTAAAAAAATGGCAGACTAGAAGCAGCCTGCAAGCGTGCCACCCCCAAGGAAAGAAGTGAAAAATGCAAGGAGCTGCCTGCATATGGATCACTCTTCTCTGAACCAACATTGTGAAATCACAGGGAAGCAACGTGGGACACAGTGTGGGGGGAAAAAAAGGTGTCAGGGCGATATATATAACAAGATCAGAGAACACGTGGGGAAGAATTGCAGGATAGAGCACTGGGGCACCACGCTCACCCTGCTGGCACTGTGTGAGTTATGAGATGGCTCCCTCCACTGCCACAGACCTCTACCTAGTTGGACTGGGGACCCACCTGGAGTCTGTGCAGAGTCATTGCACCAGACAATAGGCATGGTGGGGATCAGGCAGCAGCTAAAGCCATCCTGAGCTCTTGGGTACATGGTGCCAGGTCCACACTAGACTGGGGAGGGAGTGGACTAACTGATGGCTTCCCTGAGCCATACACTGTGACTGAAAACCAAGCACTTCTCCCCTACAGCACAATGGGATCTGAGCACAGGAATTGGCTGGGGTGTAGGAGGCTCCAACCTAAGAGGCTTTGGGCGACTGCTTAAGCAGGTCCTGGGTGGGGTGGGGAGAACTCCGTGGTCCCTGAGCCACTAGAATTGACCTCTGCTCACCTGACTTGGCATCCATGCGATCCCTGAGGCTCCAGAAGTGCTAGACACTTGCTTAGCCCAATTCCACCCTCCAGGCCCCAACTGCCTCCTGCCAGCTCGGCCCTGACCCTGCCCTTCAGGTCAGATCAGCTTTGCTGCCTGCACAGCCCTGCTTCTGGCTCAGAGGCCCTGCTCAGAAGCCCAGCTTTGAGCTCCTTCCCAGTCCTGGCTTTGAGGCGCTCACACCAGAGCCCAAGGCTCTGCCTCTGTGCCTCCAGAGCTTCTGCTAGGCCTGAGACACGATTCCCAAGACTCCAGTGCTGCACCTAGACCCCAGAACACCACCCCAGAGCCACCACCACCACCACAGGGCCAGAGGAACTGCTCCAAAGTCCAACACCCCACCAAGGATCCCCCAGCCTCAAGCCACCAGTACATTGTGACCTGGTTTAAGCAAATACTCACAGCCCAGGAACCCCCTACAACTGTCTAGATAGCCTCACCCAGATCTCCCAGCAAGGAACAGATGCCCTGCAAACTTGGTAGCCCTAAGTTGAGAACAGTGGTTTCAGATGAGAAGAAACGAGTAAAAGAACCCTGGCAACATGAAAAATCAAAACAGATCAACACCACCAAGGGAGCTACAGCAGTGAACTCCAACTACAAGGAATTGTCAAAATGACAGGAATGAAATTCAGAATATGGATGGCAAATGAGATGAATGGAATTGAAGAGAAAGTTGAAACCAACAAAAAGAAGCCAGAAATTTCAGGAAATCAATGAAAAAGCCACCAAAGAAGTAGATAATATAAGGAAGGATATAATTGAACTTAAGGAAATGAAAGAGTCATTCAGGGAATTTCGAAACACAGCAGAAAGTTTCAAGAACAGATTAAACCGAGGAGAAGAAAGACTCTCAGAGCTTGAAGACAAGGCTTTCAAGCTAACCCAATCATTTAAAGAGGCAGAGAAGAGAACAAAAAAAAGGCAATCACTTAGAGAGATATGGGACTATGCAAAGTGAACTAACAGACGAATTATAGGTATCCCTGAGGAAGAAGAAGAAAGTGCTAAAGCATGGAAAAATCTATTCAAGGTAATTATTGAGGAAAACTTCCCTGGTATTGCCAGAGATCCAGACATCTAGATATAAGATGGTCATAGAACACCGGGAAGATTCATAGCAAACGGGACATTTTTAAGACACATAATAATCAAGCTGGCCAAAGTCAAAATGAGAGAGAAAATTCTACAAGCAGCTAGATGTAAGCAACAACTGACCTACAAGGGAAAACCCATCAGGCAAATAGCAGACTTCTCAGCAGAAACCTTACAGACCAGAAGGGAGTGGGCCCCCATCTTCAATCTTCTTAAACAGAACAAACTGCCTGCCTAGAATTTTGTATCCTGCAAAACCAAGGTTCACAACTGATGGAGAAAATTAAGTCCTTTCCAGACAAGTAAACATTGAGGGAATTTATCATGACCAGATCTGCACTGCAGGAAATACTCAGAACTGCATTATACACAAACCAGCACACTAGATATCCACCAGGGCAAAATCACCCAAAACAGCCAAAGCTCACAACTCCTGTAAAACAAAAGCACAAGAAGAAAAACAAAGCAATAAGGTACTACCCAGTATGATGAACAGAACAGCATCACACATATCAATCAATTCTATCTCTTAACATCAATGGCTTTAATGTGCCACTCAAAAGACATGGGCTGGCTGAATGGATGAAAAAACACAACCCAAGTATCTGCTGCCTCCAGGAGACACATTAAAACCACAAGGATGAAAACAGGCTCAAAGTAAAAGGATGGAAAAAAATATTTCACACAAATGGAAACCAAAAGAGAACAGGTATAGCTATTCTCATATCAGACAAAACTAACTTTAAATCAACAAAGACAAAGATGGTCATTATATAATGGTAAAGGGAGCAATTCAATAAGAAGACGTATGATGATCATAAATATTATATGCACCTAACGCAGGAGCTCCCAGGAACATAAATTCTACTAGAGCTAAACAATAAATAAAAAATAGCATCATAATTGCCAGGGACTTCAACACCCTGCTGTCAGAACTGGACATATCATCAAAGCAGAAAATAAACAAACAATGGACTTAAATGAGACCCTAGAACAAATGGACCTAACAGATATTTATAAAACATTCTACCCAAAAACTACTGAATATACATTCTTCTGATCAGCACATTGGACATTCTCCAAGATTGATCAATCTTAGGCCACAAAACATATCTCAATAAATATTAAAAAATCAAAATCATGTATCTTCTCAGACCATAATGGATTAAAATTAGAAATCAATTGTAAGAATAACACTCAATTCTACACAAAGTCATGGAAATTAAATAATCTACTACTGAACAAAATTATTGGGTCAATAATGAAATTAAGATGGAAATCAAAAGGTTCCTTGAATTGAATGAGAGAGGAGACACAAGCTATCAAAATCTATAGGATTTAGCAAAAGCATTCCTAATGGGAAAGTTCATAGGCTTAGATGCCCACATCCAAAAGTCAGGAAGATCACAAATTAACAACCTAATATCACATCTCAAGGAACTAGAAAAGGATTAGCAAACCAAACCCAAAGCCAGCAGAGGAAAACAAATAACAATAACAAAGGTCAGAGCAGAACTAAATGAAATGGAAAAATTAAAAAATACAAAAATAATACAAAAGGTCAGTGAAACAAAAAGTTGGTTCTTTGAAAAGACAAATAAGATTGGTAGACCTCTTGCTAGATTAACCAGGAATAGGAGAAAAAGGACCCAAATAAGTGCAATCAGAAATGCAAAAGGAGATATCACAACTGATAGACAGAAATAAAAAACATCATCCGTGAATACTCTGAAAATCTCTACACACATAAACTAGAAAATGTAGAGGAAATGGACAAATTCCTGGAAACCCACACTCAGTCAGTCAGGAAGAGATAGAACTCCTGAACAGACCAATAATGAGCAGTGAGAGTGAAGCAGTAATAAAAAGTCTTCCAACAAAAAATATCCTGGGAGCACCTGTGTTAAGTGCAGATGGATTCACAACCAAATTCTACCAGACCTACAAAGAAGGACTGGTACCCATACTGCAGAAATTATTCCATAACACCAAGGAGGGAATCCTCCCCAGCTTGTTCTGTGAAGCCAGTATCACCTTAATACCAAAGCCAGGTAAGGACACAACAAAAAATGAAAACTACAGACCGATATCACTTATGAATGTGATGCAGAAATCCTCAATAAAATACTAGCAAATCAAATTCAACAACACATCAAAGAAATAATCCACCAGGACCAAGTGGGCTTCATCCCAAGGGATGCAAGGATGTTTCAACACACGTAAATCAACAGATGTGATTCACTACATAAACAAAAGCAAAAGCAAAGACCATACGCTCCTCTCAATATATTCAGAGAAAACATTCAACAAAATCCAGCACCTTCTCATGATAAAAACTGTCAATAAACTAGGCATAGAAGGAACATATCTCAGAATTATAAAAGCCATGTATGACAAACCTACAGCCAATATCATACTGAATGTGGAAAAGTTGAAAGCATTCCCCTCAAGAACTGGAGCAAGACAAGGATGCCCATTGTCACCACTTCTATGTTGATAGTGCTGGAAGTCCTAGCCAGGGCAATCAGGCGAGAGAAGAATATTAAGGGTATCCAAACTGGGAAAGAGGAGGTCAAACTATCACTCTTTGCTGATGATATGATCTTGTATC